TTCTATTGTTTTTTATTGTTTTTTTTATTAATTTATTTTTGTTTTGAAAATAATTCTAATAAATTAATGAAATTTTTGCGATTAAAATGACACCAAATATGACATAAATTGGACAACTTTTAATTAAATGTTATAAAAATTTTGATTATTATATAGTTAAAAATTATCTAAATTATGTCATGTTTGGTGTCATTGTAATCGCAAAAATATAATTAATCCATTACAATTATTTCTAAACCGATAAATTGCAAAATACAAAAATTTTATTTTCTATAGTAACATGACATATATACTTGAAAGAAGATAGCCAAAAGGAGCCTCACGAGCGAGACTTCGGAACTCTTTGATGTTACTCATCTCACTTGCTCCTCTTTCGTTCTCGCTCTCGCTTTCGGCGACTCTGGAGCATAGTGGTTCTTTCCTTGTTTTCTTTCGTTCGTTTCGTATATGCGTTTACACTAACACATGGATTATTGTCTGTGTCGCGATTCGTATTTGTTAGTGAAATATATAGCAACGTCGCACGTGCTCAGAATCAGCTAGAAAATCATTTGTTCTTGATTCGTTGAACAAGTGGCATCGAACATCGAAACTATCGAAATGAAAATGTCGAGCAAAAATAAGCGATGTAAGTATTTGATTCAATGTAAATTTATATATTATTATATTTTCCCTCCCTCCTTCTCTCTCTCTCTCTCTTTCTCTCTCTCTCTCTCTCTCTCTCTCTCTCTCTTTTTGTTATTCTTTTTTCTCTTGTCTCTCCTTTCTCCTCTCTTGTCTCTCTTCTCTCCTTTCTCTCATTCTCTTTCTCTCTCTCTGCAAACAAAAAATGTAAAAATTGACATATAATATATTTTTTTTCATTGCAAAAAGCGAAGGAAGTTTGCCTTCGGTGAAATCGAAGCGGAAGGCGACGGCGGCGACGGCGATGACAACGAGATATACGACGGCGATGATGACAGCGTCGACGCCGACGACGACGACGACGACGCAGACAACACCGACATCAATGCCGACGCCGACAAAGGCGATGATAGCGACGACGTCATCGCTAGCAGCGGTGGACCGGCGAGTGGCCACGCCGACGGCGTCGACGTCGACGTCGATGCCATCGTTGCCGAGAATAAAAATGTTATCGGCGGCGACGTTACCGCTAGCAGCGGCCGACCCGCGAGTGGCCACGGCGACAGCGTCGACGTCGACGTCAATGCCGCCGTTGCCGAGAATGATAAAGTTATCGGCGGCGACGTCACCGTTAGCAGCGGCCGATCCGCGAGTGGCGACGGTGTCGACGTCGACGAGGATCGCAAGAGCG